ACTGCTCCTTGTTTTGCTCACCCTTGTTTTGCTCACCCGATACTTGTGAGATTCCCAAACTAAAATTGTGACAGTCATTAACTTCATCAGTAGGAGATGAAACTTGACCCCTAATTCGACTCCTTCTATAAACTTTCTGATTCGAAGTACCAACATCACTAAGTATCCGCAGACTTCTTCTAGGCAATTTTCGTGCTCCTCCTCCTTCTTCCATTAGAATTCTGTGCTGAAAAATGGGGAAGAAAGAACAACAAAACCCTAAAATTTTTGGACAGAAGAGTAGAAAGAAAAGAGAGAGAGGATATGAGCGAATGGGCAACACTTTTTTGCTTAGTTTAAAAATTACATGAAAAGGAACAAATTTTTTTTTAAATTGTTTCAAGTAACTATTGCTAAAAGTTGACAAAAATGGTAATAAATTAAAAGTATACTTAAAAACGCTAATTATTAAATAAAAGACCTTCACTTATGTAATTTTTCCTAAATTAAATAATTATAACATACTCAATATATTTCTACAAGTGTAGTGTGGAGAGGTAGGATATACGCTGATATGATGAAGTAAGAATGCAAATAATGTAAATTTTCAATGAAAAATATGTACTCATATAAAATTAGATAGTGTTACGCTTGGGGAAAAGTTTATATACATATATGATATAATATATGTATGGTTTTTTTTTTCTCTACATTTATGCTTGCCCTCTCCCCCCTCCCCCCCCCCCCCCCCTTTCTTCTTTCTTAATTTTCACCATTTTCAACCTTCACTAGCTTCTTCTTTTTCCCGAATTTCCAACCTTCAGTAGTTGTTTTCTTCTTCAACATTCATCAAAAAAAAATTAAAAAAACTAGCATACTTACTTTTCTTGTGCGAACCGAAAAGAGAGAGAGGATATGAGCGAATGGGCAACACTTTTTTGCTTAGTTTAAAAATTACATGAAAAGGAACAAATTTGTTTTTAAATTGTTTCAAGTAACTATTGCTAAAAGTTGACAAAAATGGTAATAAATTAAAAGTATACTTAAAAATGGTGATTATTAAATAAAAGACTTTCACTTATGTAATTTTTCCTTTTTTTTTAATAGGGATGACAATGGGGTGGGCGGATGCGGGGCAGGTTTAAGGTTGTGCGGGGCGGGAATGATGCGGGGCGAATTGAAGTGTTTTTTTAAAAAAAATTAATGCGGGGTGGGTTGCGGGTATATGTGATTTTATGTGGGTTCAAACTTAATTTTAAATTTTTACATGTTATATAAGAGTAATAAAACATTGTTTATTAAGATAATTTCTTTAAAACTACTAAAATATTCAAGATAGTAAATGAAAATGGTTCAATAAAAAATAATACAATTTCTTACATGTTTCTCAATTTGACCTCTAAAAAATAATTTTTTAAGTCATTATCTATTAAACTAATACAACTTAATGAAAAAATGAATTTATTTTTATGAATTTTATTTTTAGTATCAAACTTAACTAGAAAAAGAAAGTATTAAAAAAATTATGTGGGGCGGATTGAAAACGAAAAAAAGTTCTTATGCGGGGCAGATTAAAAGTTTTACGAATTAAGCTCAACCCGCTCCGCTCCGCCCCGCACCACACCACACCACCCCATTACCATCTCTACTTCTTTTTCTTATGTATATAAAAACATAGCTATTAACCTATATTTAGTATAAACTAAACTAATTACTTTATTTGAGTTTAAGCCATTTTTATTTATCATCCTCGACTTTAACTTCCAATGAGTGAAAGAAATAGCTTATTTGAAATTTGTGTGAAGTTGTGTAACGGTAACATTGCATGCTTAATTTGCCAAAATAACCAAAAAAAAAATAAACCCGCTCCTAGATAACCGTTAATTTTAGCCAGAAACTCATATATTGTATGTACATCTTCTAATTCAAACCAACATGAGTTGTGTGGTACACTAGTGAGAGTGCTTCACCCTTAACCAGAAGTCTCGGGTTCGAGCCATGGCTATGGAGAAAATCATGTTGGAAGCGTCACCCCCGAATGGGCCCTGCAGTACGCAATTCAGATTTAATCGGAGCTCCAATGTAGACTCGAACACTGGGTGAAAAACCAAAAAAAAAAAAATCTTCTAAAAGTTGAAAACTATAAACTCAGAGAGAGAGAGATAGCAGAAAGTAGTAGAGAGTATAGCAATGGCCAATGAGGGGAAGAAAATGGTTTGGATTCATTCCAACCAGATTTCACTTCCGTCGTTTCAGTTCGTTCGACCCTCCTCCTGTTCCTCCTCATCGAAGAGTTGTTGTTACTGGTAAATCATAAAACCCTGCTCCTCAATTCTATTTCCCCTTCTATTTTTGTCTGATTAATCCCAATTGGGATTCGAAAGTGATATCTTCTGGTTAAATTCTGCTTATGCTAAGAATTGTTGTATCTAGTATTTGGGTTGCTGTATTCTTAATCTTGGGGTTCTCCTTTTTTCGTTTCATTTTGACTTGTAAATGGGTTTAATTTCACCTACATCCAAATTAACTTAATGGGTTCCTTGAATCTTTGGTTGTTTTTGTACAAAATGGTGTATATGTTTCTTTTTCAAATACTATGGGTTACATTACCCGCAACAATAAGTAATCAATCTAGTTTAGTAACTTAGAAAACAAAGTAAATAACCTATTGTTAAATACAATGATGTGAGACGCTGTGTGTGTATAAAAGTTAAATTCTCTGTAGATGTATTAGGATTGCCATGTGGTTTAGGAAGTTGTTTTTTTTGGCTGTTTAGTTGTTTTAATGCAAGACCAGAATTATACAGTGGTGTCAAATTTGTCAAGTACTAAGTTCAGAACAGCCGAAGGGCAGAATAAGCATTATGTGTTTGGATATTGTAACCTTGAATATCCTCAAAGTAATATCAACTCTAGCTCATATGTTTAGAATGTCATTTTATATTTTTGGTTTGATTGTGTGAAAATTGTGAATGTTGAAACAAGTAGTATGATGATTCTGCACAGATATATGGATCAACAGGTGCATGTTGTGCTCGAAATTTAGTATAGTTGGTGTTGGAAAGTCTGAGTTTTTTGGTTGGTGGTTTTGCTTCAAGTGTAGGGATGGTGACTCCCCTTGGATGTGCAGTGGAAACCACATGGAAGAGGCTAATAGAAGGGGAATGTGGTGTAAGAGCAATATGTGCTGATGATTTGAAGATGAATGGTTTTGAACCAGAAGTTAAGATGTATACATTTGATCAGTTGGCATCCAAAGTTGCTGCAGTTGTGCCCTATGGTTCCAGCTCAGGCGAATTCGACGAGCAGTTGTGGCTAAACTCTAAGGTACCACCCAAACTTCAATCTCTATATTAATCTTTGTTGTATGTGTAGAAATGTTCTGGAGTGACATTTTTTACTGAAAATGTAAAATACCGCTTTTTATGAAGTCATCATTCCTCTAAACATTTAGCTCATGCGCTTCCTCTATCTTGTCCTAATTTCCTGTACCTTGTGCCTCACCTCTCCCTTGGACCACCCTTTCTCCTAGCAATCTCTGCTATCATATCATGTCTATGTTTGATTCCCAATCCACTGCCTCTATCCAAGAACACTTCATTGGTACTAAAATTGTTTCACATTTAGTTTTTGGAATTCTTTTCAACTAAATGTGATGCAGGACATGTTTCAGAACCACCTTTTTCAGGTAAAAGGTAAAAGAAAGGCCTCTTTTAGGAATGCAAATAAAAGAGGTTGTTGGAGCATCTTCAATTTATCGTAGACATTCTTTCTATGTGACCTTTAAATGGTCTTTGATGATTTTCAATGGAACATATTGCAAGTGATTATGAATTTACTTTTATGACATGATATAGAAGATTATTATAAAAAGTGTCATGATATAAAGTGGATTTTTATACCACAAAGCTTCCTATTTGCTTAGTCTCATTCTTTAGAATTGTCTTTCTCATACTATGTAAACGGACTTCAAGTCTGAATTATGTACTGTACTCAATAGGAAGCGTCACAGCCACCCCTGATGTCGATCTGCAATATTAGTTTGAGAAAATCATTTGGTTTTTAACCTAGACCGATTAGTTTACCTGTATCATATAAATGTCCAACACTTAGATACTTTCTAAGATTATCCTATATGAAAGATGTATGCCATGTGTGGATAATGAATGACTTGCCGGGTATGCAATATAATAAGTACAAAAGGTAAGACCTAAAAAGAGAAATGATATTAGCACAACACGAGATAGAAACCTAAACCCTAAAGGAGAAAACCCATCATTAAACAATCATAGAAATAGAAGAAATGGGTTCATACCAAGTGACGAAACTCTCTGTGAGTTGGGGAAGTTTTTTATTTTTGAGCGAGGTACAACCAACAAAACTTGTATGAGGATCCACTAACTTTTTGACATGTGGATTGTGGGGGCCCAAGCTGTCAGTTAAGGCCGTAAAATGAAACCAAAAAGGAGAGAGAATGTAAAGTTTGAGTGGAAATTGCAAGACAATTGTGGGGTCCACGTCAACTTCAATTAAATAAATTAAAATATTATATTGAAAGTGGAAAAGTGCACAGTAAAAAAGGTAAGGAAGGGAATAAAAATTCATATTATTAGCTGATCAATATTTTTATTTTCTATTTTATATCCACATTTATTTAACGCATTGAATTGAATATCTATTAAAAAATATTATTCTTATATTATAAGATATAAGATAAAATAAAATTTGTTTACACTCTATTTTCTTTAAACTCGCGTTACTTTTAAAAATAGTTCTATATTACAAGATAAGATAAAATTTGTGTATATTTTATTGTCTTCAAACTCACGTTATTTAAAAAAAATAGATATTTGGTATATAGATTGAAATAAAGACTTGAAAAGTGTAACAAAGTGAAAATTTTAAAAAGTATCTGATGATCTAATGAGCATATTATTAGAGTATTGTTTTTATCTTAATGATGTTAAATGAATAATAACATTATATAGTACAAATTTGATTTTAATTTGAGCAAAATAGTCAAATTTCTGCCTATTATATTTCTATTAAATCGTACAAAATTTATATTAAATTTATTGGATACGTTTTTTTACTATATTTTATTTCTAAAAATAGTAAATTAATGAAACTTCAATTTGGGCACGGCTTATTTGACATTTTTATTAATATAAATTTTAATATGTATCAAATGACTTCTTATTTCCTTCATTACTTATTTTACTGCACTGTTCCACTTTCAATACAATATTTTAGTTTATTTAATTGAATTTAACGTGGACTACACAATTTTCTTCCAATTCCCACCCAAACTTTACATTCTCTCTCTTTTTAGTTTCATTTTTCAGCCTTAACTGACAGTCTGGACCCCACAATCCACATGTCGAAAAGTTAGTGGATCCTCAATTCCTCATACAAGTTTTGTTGGTTGTATCTTGCTCAAAATAAAAAATTTCGTAAGTTGGGCTTTATAAAAGGTTATTTTATACTAAAATGGATGTAGGCTTAACTAAAGCCTAATGCAGATTGAACTCTATTAAACCTAAGCTCACTACCCTAACCCTCTTAGAGGGTTATGTTGAATTTTTGGCAGGCCCCATATAGATTCATCTTTTGGGGTTTATGAGAGATTGATTAATAGTCCTAAGTTAAACAACTAAGATTGGACATAAACCAAAACCTATAGACTAAATTAGGAGAGTAGATGTTTAATTCAAGACCAGGAAATCAAGTTATATCAAAGCCCAATGTCAAGCAAATCCCTAGACTACAAGTGAAGAAATTGGGTTCAACTAAGGCTTTAACCCAAGATAAGGTGGAGCTTTAACCCGACCAAGAGGGGCCCTGTAGGATAGTGGGCTTAGCCAGCCCAATATAGGTTACTAACCAAAAATGAGAAGTCCCCTGAAGCGGTTGAGGGTAGCAAACAGATGCATTGGCTGATAACATAATCATCACCCTTCCTCGATTTGTCCCTGTAGAAAGCTTCTTATTGGCTTCTCCCCCGGACTGAGACTCACTCTTCTTGGCCAGATGGTTAACTAATCATTAGTCTTTGGTACCAAAGAAAGTCAAGAAGGTTGGGACGCAAGGTGGTTGTCGCTGAAGCAACTGTGGAAGCAGACTCCATGAAAAACTCGTATGTATCAAAGAAATGGAAGGGCTCTCCCTCTTTATCTTGAACATATCTCTACCCTGCTTGGATGAACAAAGTGTGCAATGCGTGAAGTGAGATCACTACCATACCCTTTTCAATGTATCTAGTGAACATAGGCTTCGAGTGCGTACCAGGTGAGATTATGACTGAGTCAAGCACACACCTTCTAATCCGCGCTTCCCTTCGCGACCTGAACCCAAGTCATTGATGAGCCTCAAGGACCTTTCAAGCCTTCCCGCTTCGATAAGATTCAATTACTTTCCCTTTCTCATTCTGAAAAAAAAGAAGAAAGCATTGCTTTGCGGTTCTTTCTTCGCTAATTGAAAGCTAACCTCACACGTCTGCTTATGAAGATTACGGCTTCCTCACTTGTTTGATTTGAAATGGCATGATGCTTCACACATGTAATTGGAGTCTGTTTCAGGGCTTATAAAAGTTCGTGCAAAGAAGATTTATAGGAGAGAAGTTCCCCATCTCTCTTAAGCTTTTTGTCTCTTGAAAAATATTATATTCTTATGTTTGAGATTGCCTCTGTGTGATTCATCCTAAGTAGCTAACCCAAAAGGAACTAATAAGAGAAGAGACTTTAACTATTTAAAGGTAAAGGAAAGGAAGCCCAGTGAAATCATCCCTTGATAAATGAAGGCTCCTACAAGAGTTGACCAAACCTTGTAGAAGCGAAGATCGATGTCCGTCCCATTCGGGGAAGCAATCTTCCACCCTCTTGGCTGTAGTTTTAGCTTGTATACGTGAAAAATTAACAAGAAAAAAAAAGATTTCAAAAAGAATGCATATCAACAATTTTTCTGCACAAAACAGGGAAAGAGAATGAATGAACTACAACAAAGCGAATTTTTTTCATTAATAGTCGTTACATGGGAATACATCAAATAGGAAGCTTACACACACATAGACCAGCCGCACAACTAAACACAATATTACAAAGTGAACAACGGAAGCATTGAAGACTACTAGTGATACATGCAAACATAACAAAGACACTTAGCATATGAGTAGATCTCCACCAAACAAAGAAATAGAAGAAACACATTACTTTGCGTCTACCGACACTAATTAAAGCCTTAAAAACTCAAAATAGTCGATGGACTCTTCTATTCTACTCTCTTTGGGAATCCGAAGCTATGCGGACGACCCACACATTTAGTTCCCTTCGTTCATGGAAGAGGGCCTCCTTTCTCTCTTCCACAACGCGTGGTTCCGGATCTGTTGCATCATATTTGCAACGCCTCCGGGTCAGGAGGAGGCAAATGCTCCGATTAGAGCTTCTGCTCCTCTACTCTTGAGATTTCGATAGAAATTTCTTGAAGTCTTAGAATAGAATCCATGGCTACACTCAATTTTTTTCCGACTTCATTGTTCCTCTCTGTCTCCCTTTTCCAATAGAGAAAAAAACTTCTATTTATAGGCGTTGGAGGCCCTTTATCCTTTCTTATTATTAGTAAGATAGGTTGTCTTGGTTCCGTAACATGGTTCAAACCTGACTTTTCATGAATATGGAACCTTATTCACTAGAGTTTAGTGTGTTGAATAATTATCCTTTCCTCATACATTTGGGTACTTTAGGCTCTCTTTTTTGGCGAGTATCACCACGTGGTTTAATCGTGAATCACTCCTTAAGGAATAAGACACAATACTTTAAGCGCACATCATGGAAGAAGGTACCCCATTTATTATAAGACAACCCCCGTGTCCTTTCTTAAGAGATAGAGCAATCGTCACTCGACAACTTAAAACTAACCAATACAAAACCATGTGATATGTCCTCATTTACGTACCCCACTGACACTAGCATGCCTTGCCTACTCGTCTTTAGTAGTCTTATTTGTCACTTGACAACTCAAAGCTGACTGGTACAACCTGCGTGCTTGCCTACTCGTCTTTCACCGACCTATTTGTACCCAACTACAATCTCTTCCCTTATAAAAGAAAAAAGGGCCTCTCGGCCAATCCTCAATCGACAACAACTCTGTCCTAGCGAAGTAAAGTATCTGCTGAACTTTTTAAAATTTCATTCTTTAATATAACATCAACATAACAATAACATTATAAAGCAATTATAGGCATTTATCTCATCTATCCACCGTGAAAAAAACTGTCCTTACACTAAAAGTTCACGCGCTTCTTTATTCAAACAAAAAAACATTTTGCAATGAACCCACATATAAAAGTGGGCTGGTATGCTCATTATTTGTGTTCGTACATTTTATCATTATTGCAATACAAGTAAGACCTCCACTAGTTAAATACATTTTTGAATTGAAAATAATTAAGTCTTTTATGATAATTAACAACTTTATTTATCGAAGTAGAAAATATGTACAGATTCTTACATTATTTATTTGAATTGATAAATTATTTTTTTAAGAACTTAGAAATCGCCAAATAAAATAAATCAATCAACTCATAAACACCCCCAAATTCACATTATTGTGCGTTCTCCATCTTCACATATGCATACATTCACCATAAATGCATTTTTAATCTTCAATTTTTTGAAAGTGTAAATTATAATATTTTAAAATTAAAAATTATATTTAAATTCTACCTCATAACCTAAAGGAGCAGTAAATTTTAAAGATAATTTTTTAATAGTTTAGAGTACAACTAAACATGATGTACATAAGTTACACTGTCGTATATTATGAAATTAGTTTTTAATAGTTTAGGTCTTACTTGAATTGCAATAATGATAAAATGTACGAACACAAATAATGAGCATACCAAGCCACTTTTATATGTGGGTTCATTTTAGAAATGTTTTTTTGTTTTGAATAAAGAAGTGCATGAATTTTTAGTGTAAGACATATGTTTTTCTCGGTGGATGGATGGGATAAATGCATCTATTGTTTTTTAATGTTATTGTTATGTTGATGTTATATTAAAAAATGAAATCTAAAAAAGTTCAGCAAAGACTTTACTTCGCTAGGACGGAGTTGCTGTCGATTGAGGATTGGCCAAGGGGCTCTTTTTTCTTTTATAAGAGAAGAGATTATAGATGGGTAAAATAAGTCGTTGAAAGACGAGTAGGCAAGCACACGGGTTGTATCAGCCATCTTTGAGCTGTCAAGTGACGATTGGTCGAGAGGACTTCCATTATGTAGTTGGGTACAAATAAGACTACTAAAGACGAGTAGGCAGGGCGTTAGGCTAGTGCCAGTGGGATATGTAAGCGAGGTCAGATTACATGGTTTTGTACTAGTCAGTTTTGAGTTGTCGAGTGACGATTGCTACATCTCTTAAGAAAGGATGCGGGAGCTATCTTGTAATAAATGGGTACTCTTTTCTCTGATGTGCGCTATATCATGGGGTCTTATTCCTTAAGGAGTGATTCGAGATTAAGCCACGTGGTGATACTCGCCAAAAGAAAGCGGGGGCCTTGAGTATTCAAGTGCATACGAGAAAAGGATAATTATTCAGCGCACTAAAATCTAGTGAATGGGGTTCTCCATATTCATGAAAAGACAGGTTTGAACCATGTTACGGAACCAAGACAACATGTGTTACTAATAGTAAGAAAGGGTCAAGGGCATCCAACGCCTATAAATAGAAGCTTCTTTCTCTATTTAGCAAAGGCAGACGGAGATGAACAATAAAGTCGGGAAAAAATTGAGTGTAGCCATGAATTCTTTTCTAAGACTTCAAGAAATTTCTATCAAAATCTCAAGAGTAGAGGAGGAGAAGCTCTAATCGGAGCAAAGGTTGGATTTATTCTGGGAGCATTTGCCTCCTCTCGACCCGAAGGCCATTGCAAATATGATGCAACAAATCCGGAACCATGCGTTGAAGAAAGGAAGGAGGCCCTCCTTTATGAACGAAGAGAACTAATTGCGTAGATCGCCAACATAGCTTTGGATTCCCAGAGAGAGTAGAATAGAAGAGTCCGTTGACTCTTTTTGAGTTTTCTAAGGTTTAAGTTAGTGTCTGTAGACGTAAAGTAGTGTGTTTCTTCTTTTTCTTTGTTTGGTAGAGATCTACTACTATGCTAAGAGTCTTTGTTGTGTTTGCATGTATCACAAGTAGTTTTCAATGCTTCCGTTGTTCACTTTGTAATGTTGTGTTTAGGTATGTGGCTGGTCTATGTGTGTGTAAGCTTCCTATTTGATGTATTCCCATGTAACAACTATTAATGAAAAAAATCCGCTTTGTTATAATTCTCTTTCCCTGTTTTGTGCAGAAAAATTGTTGATTTGAATTCTTTTTGAAATCTTATTTTTTTCTTGTTAATTTTTCACATATACAAGCTAAAACTACAGCCTCTGGGTGGAAGATTGCTTCCCCGAATGGGACGGACATCGATCTTCGCTTCTACAAGGTTTGGTAAACTCTTTGTAGGAACCTTCATTTATCAAGGGGTGATTTCACCGGGCTTCCTTTCCTTTACCTTTAAATAGTTGGAGTCTCTTCTCTTATTAGTTCTTTTTGGGTTAGCTACTTAGGATGAATCACACAAAGGCGGTCTCAAACATAAGAATACAATATTTTTCAAGAGACAAAAAGCCTAGGAGAGATGGGAAACTTCTCTCCTATAAATCTTCTTTGCACGAACTTTTATAAACCCCGAAACAGACTCCAATTACATGTGTGAAGCATCATGCCATTTCAAATCAAACAAGTGAGGAAGTCATAAGCAGACGTGTGAGTCTAGCTTTCAATTAGCTAAGAAAGAAGGAGGCAAAGCAAGACTTTCTTCTTTCTTTGAGAAAGGGAAAGCAAACGAATCGAGCAAGGAGGCTTGAAAGGTCCTTCAAGGCTCGTCAATGACTTGGCTTTAGGTCACGAAGGGAAGTGCAGTTCATTGGGTGTCCACTTGACTCAATCATAGTCTCACCTGGTACGCACTCGAAGCCTATGTTCACTAGATAAATTGAAAAGGATATGGTAGTGATTTTACTCCATGCATTGCACACTTTGTTCATCCAAGCTTGGCAGAGCTAGGTTCAAGAGGCTTTCCCTTCTTTTTCTTTGATATACACAACTTTTTCACGGAGTCTGCTTCCACAGTTGTTTGAGCGATAACCACATTACGTCCCAACCTTCTCGACTTTCTTTAGTGCCAATGACTAGTTAACCAAGAAGACAATAATTCTTTTGGACGTGAAGAGCGAGTCTCAATCCAAGGGAGAAGCCAATAGGAAGCTTGCTATGGGGACGGATCGAGGAAGGGCGATGAATATGTTATCAACTAATGCATCTTATGGCTACACCTCAACCGCTTCTGGGGACTCTTCCTTTTGGTGAATAACCTATGTTGGGCTGACTAAGCCTACCCCTCTTGATCGAGTTAAGGCTCCACCTCATCTTGGGTTAAGGGCCTAGTTGAACTCAATTTCTTCACTTTGGAGTCTATGCCTTTGCTTGGGATTGAGCTTCGATATAACTTGCTTTCCTGGTCTTGAATTAATCATCTGCTCTCTTAATTTGGTTTATAGGTTTTGGTTTAGGTTCAATCTTAGTTGTTTAGCTTTAGGTCCATCAATCAATTTCTCATAAACCTTTAAGTTGAATCTATATGGGACCGTCCAAAAATTCATCGTAACCCTCTAAGAGGGTAAGGATAGTGAGGCTAAGATTCCATAGAGTTCAACCTGCATTAAGCTTAGATCCATTTTAGTAGAAAATGATCTTTTTGTCACTTGGTCTGACCCCATTTCTTCAATTTCTATGATTGTTTAGTGATGTGTTTTCTTCTTTTAAGATTAGGTTTCTATCCTATGTTGGTTTATTTCTCTTTTTAGGTCTTACCTTTTTGTACTTATTATATTGCATACCCTGCAAGTCATTCGTTATCCACACATGTCATACATCTTTCATATAGGATTATGTTATTAGATAATTGAAGAGAGCTAAGTCACCTGGACAAGTCAACAAAAGCAGTTAGGAAATCTTGGCGGGAAAGTTAGTTACGAACAATAGCAGTCCTAGAGTTAGTTACTTACAGAATAGGAATTAGTTAGCAACGAAATTGATTCATTCCTTAGATTGTATTCAACTATAAGTACATTACATTTGCTTCTACCCAAATCTTCTTCTACTTTTCATCTTCTTTCCTTTCATCCTCCATAGCTGTCAACTCGAGTTTCTCTGTAAAACTCCTGTCCAGCTGCTAAAACCTCCCTGCATTTTGGCTAACATTGGTATCAGAGTCATTATATCCTTGACAAAATCAACAAGAGCAAATGAGAGTTCTTCTAGTGAAGTAAGGGAGTTGCATGAAATCATGCATAAAATGTTATTGGAAATTGGTACTCCACTAAAGGAAGTATCAAATCTTAAAAAATTGGACCAGGTGATGCTAGAACGAACGGAACAAATGACAAGCAATAGAGTGAATCATAGGGATAAAATACCCACAGGAGAAGACAAAATACCAGTGGGTGGAAGGCAGTCAAAGGAGCAATCGCACAACAACTTCATTAATCATAATCCACATTCCTCAATGGTCGACAATGGAGTTTTTGAAGTTTTCCGGAGAAGATCTTAAATCTTGGTTGTTTAGAATCGATCAATTCTTCAATATGGAGAACATTCCCATGGAGGAGAAGGTTAGCATTGCTGCTCTACAGTTAGAAGGTGAAGGTATTTGGTGGCACTTGTCCTTTATGAAATACATGCAGTAAATTCAACCACCAACTTGGAATGAATATAATGTAGCGTTAGTGGAAAGATTTGGGGCAGATTCTCCAAAGAAGCTGGTTAGTTTTGAAATCTCTAATCTTTCTCATTTCTACCCACAGGAAACTTCCAGTAAGAAGACATCATATATTTTGCAAGGTTCCCGATGAAATGCCTAAAAGAGATTTGGATGTAGATTCTCTGTATAGTGGCACCACTGAAAGAAACAATAAAACTGAAGCTTTTGAAGACTTGTTTTTTGATGCATTCTTTTTATAGATAATGAGAGTGATGTCGAGGCTTTTGAAAATATGCATCTTGGTTGGATTTTCTTGAATGATGAGAGTGATATGGATACAAAATCCTTAGATAGTGATGGGAAAGAAGTGCTCTCATGGCAAGCTTGTTTTGATTTAATTGTTTTCAAGATCATGACTTCTTGCGATTTATGGTTTGACTTTGAGAGTGATATGAAAACTTTGGCCAAAATTTGGCCATGGGAAGAGATTGAGAAATCAGTTGTCCTACTAACAGAGGAAGGAACAGAAGTGTGGGTTTAGATCAGCATGGATTTATTGATGGATTGCCTAAATCACATGGTCCTGAAGTAATCTTCGTAGTGGTTGATAGACCAAGTATATGGCCATTTTATTCCTCTAAAGTATCCTTATACTACTTAGTCAGTGGCTGAAGTCTTCATGGACTTTATAGTAAGGTTACATGGTCTACTCGATAGTATTACAAGTGATAGATATGTTGTGTTGTTCCTCAGTATTTTTTGGCAACAATTGTTTTCCCTTCAAGGTGTTCAGCTGAACATGTCATCAGCCTATCACCCCCAGAGTGATGGCCAAACTGAAGTCCTCAATAGGTGCTTAGAAACCAATTTGAGATGTTTTTGTGCTGAGGATGATTGTTTGTGTATGGCTGAATATTGGTATAATTCTTGCTATCATTCTGCTATTGATACTACACCTTATGAGGCCCTTTTCTCAATAGAAGGTTGAAGTTGAAACTGTTGAGACATCATCTGATGAGAGCACAACTGAGAATAAAACAGCGGGCTGACTATCATAGAAGTGACATGAGTTTTTAATGTACCTCTCATACAATATAATTTGGATTCTTTTTTTTGTGTCCAAGCATCCACATGTAATGTTTTTTTTCTCTGTAGTATACATGATATTGAGAATCGAATCAAAGAAATTATTCATAAGTGATTTGATATGAACTCATGGAATTCTCTCATTTAAAATTTTGAAAAAAACAATCAAATTAAATTGTTATTATTATCTTTGTCATTATGATCCAAATAGTTCAATTGTACACGTTTTGCAAATTCTTCTTTATGTTTTTATTTTTCTACGATTTAAAATAGGAAAATTATTTTGAGATAGCTAAGCAAAATGATCATTTGGTCACCTTTGTTACTTAAAAGAGTCTAATTATTGATTTATTACTAGATAGCCATGAAGTCTTGTCTTTCTCTGTTTGTAAAAGAATTTGATAGAGCTGTCAAAAAGGGCCGGCCCAGCCCCACCGGGCCCAAGCCTCGCGGGCCAATTGATTTGAAGGGCTAGGACGGGTCGGCCCTTCATTTGGTAGGGCTTGAAAATGCTCAACCCAGCCCAACCCTCGAGGGCCCTTCTTTTTTCTTTTCAAATTTATAATTCTATAACATCAAAAAAATGAGAAGATTTTCAAATCAAATATGGCAAACAATGGTGTTGTTTCAGTAACACTAGCAAAAAATCTAGTGTAAATTAGCATATATCTCGCATACTAGATACGTGAGCGAGATAAGAGAGTGACAAGCAAGATGGGAGAGAGGTAAGGGAGCGAGATTTGTCTATATATTCTAGATACATGTGAATCTTCTTGGATATAGTGTATCTAGAACAAATTAACCTAATTTTGAGTCCATATATTTTGAGATACATATATTTGGATGTATCAAAATTTGGTATGATTCATAATATTACAACATAGCGTATATTTAAGTAATTATATTATATACTAGTGAGATTATTGTAAGTTACCATTAAATAAAAAGTTTTGGCACATGGGCCAACCCCGATCAAGCCTCAAGGGCTAAGGGTTTATATGGGCCGGACTTATAAGCCCTAGTTTTAAATGAGCTTGAAAATTATATCCCAACCCTACCCCAATAACGGGTTGGGTTGGGTTGGGCCAGCCCCATGGGCCAAGCCCATTTTGATGGCTCTAGAATTTGATATGCATAAATTTTCTTTTCGATGTTACTCTCCCATGACACGAAAGAATCAAATGGAATAAAAAAAAACAATTTTATTTATTTTTAGTAATAGAATGAAACTAGTCAAATGAAAAGTGGCGTTCATATTTAAAGTTTGGGATCGTTTAGAGGATAATTAACCTGATCGGAATAAAAAAAGTTCATCTCGTTGAAAAAGATGAATTGATGCAATATATAAATATCGTATAACAGTGTGTATATAGATCTCTACGTTAACTTGACTCCTGGCCCAATTGTATTTGGTTTAGGCCTTATATTGTTCATCAAAGGTGAAGTATTTATCCAATCCTGCCTATATATAAATTATGGGTAATCTACGTAAATTTCATTAGTTTAGGTCCTAATTACTAATATTTCTGATAGTTTTAAATATTAGTTCCTCTACGAACCGTAAATGGACATGTAGAAGGTTTTTGTTAGTTCTTTTACGTTCATTAACACTTCAATTCTTTAGAGCAATGTTCTAAGATGAGAAAAGGCTAGGGTTTCGAGCGTTCTTCGAGCTTCGTCGATTTCGCCAAGAACTTTGTTCTTTAAGGTGTGAAAGACCATCATAGTGATGGACTGAACTCGTCCTCACGCCCTACATCTACTTTTTAGGAGTAGATAATAATCTAGGGTAACATCCTTGGTTTTGATAAATCCCACTAATTTAGGTCCTAATTACTCGGATTCACAATAGTTTCAAATATTACTTTTTGGATCATATTTCTTCCTTTGGATACATGTATCATTACTCGCCAGATACATGTATCCGACGATTTTAAAAATCAAGATACATGTTCTATTTGTTTGAGCTAAATGGTTGTATATGATTTCCTTAATTAAAGGAGTAATTGAGGATTTTCAAATACATGAACAATTAATTCAGCAAATTTAAATTAATCAAATCTATTAATATAAGTCAAAAATTAAGAGTGTATCTATGTTTAATTAATTTTATTTTATTACTCTTTTGAATAATAAATTTATTAATATTATTAATAAAAGACCAAAATATGATTAATTTCATATTATTACTCTTAAAATAATAAATTCATTAATTTGATGTATCTATTATCATTTATCAATATATGATGTATCTAACAAACTAAACACTTAGATACATGAGTGTACAATTGCATATATACATTTATATGTATCATGAACACGTACAAAAATAAACTAATGGACTTTGATCAGATGGACACAAATACATACAATCAGGCTTATCATGAAGACATATTAATCTCTTATTCCATATGAACAAGTATACTATGATACGGGGCACACAAGTACATTCATATGTATCATAAAAGTATCTAATATTAATTTCATGTATTTGTTATATGTATCTAGTATTAATTTCATTTATCTATTTTTATGATCTGATATGTATCTAGTATTAATTTAATGTATCAAATATCAATTTCATACGTTATATCCAAAAACATGTATCTAGTCCTCCTTCTTCTTCAAGTCAAATTTTTTACTCATCTCCGCTTGCTGGTAATACAGAACTATCAAGTATCAATTAGCGACATTGAAGCCGAAGGGATATTCAACGACAGTTTTTACATCATCTATATTTTCATAGACGACGAAAGTTGTTCCACGTGTATCCTTAGTTGTGTCAATACGAATTTATACCTTATAGCATCGTACATGCCGAAGATATAGTACATATCCTCGCTCATGATGTTGAACGGAAGAGAAATTGTGGAGGAAAATTATTAATTGCAAGGACCATTAATTTTGGTGTTTAAATGTAAAAATAATTAATTAATTCCAGTTTTAAGGGATTTGCGTAACTAATTGTATCTTTTGAAATATATGGTATAAAATATCAAAAGAGGTAATATATGTAATTGTTTGAAAGTAGAAGTAATTTTAGTATATATGATTAGGGGTGTACGAGCCAAACCGCAAAGTCAAACCGAATCAAACTGAAAAAAATGATTTGTGGTTTGGTATTAAAAGAAAAAAAGTCAAACCAAACCGACATGATATATATAATTTTATTTTATTTATAGATAAAAAATATTATTTACAATCTACTTTGTTAATATATTTCTAGTTAGTTTATAGTTTTCAATGTTTAGATATATTATTTCAAATTTGGGCTTGTAAAATTTTGTAAATATTTTATTTTGTATTAAGATCGGAAGTTACAATTATATTGTTATAATTTTTCAAATTTGAAGTTAACAATTTACTTTGTAAATATTTTGTTTTGTATTCAATTGACTGTTGCCTTTAATTTTATTAATTTAACATAATGAACGTTGATATTTCAATAAAAGTATTTTGTACTCATGTGAATTTTACCGTCTTTTTGAAGATTTCTATTCATTTAACATTTTTAAAGTTTAACTTATCACACAGATAAGTGAAAGTATATTTGATCTCTTTTTCAAACACCGTATAATTGTAAAAAATAGAAAAACCCCGAAAGAATCGACTAAAGCCGAAATCGAAAAACCCGACTTTATTGGTTTGATTTGGTTTTTAGATTTAATAAACCAACATAATTGGTTTAAATTTTTTAATGAAAAATCAAACCAAACCGACCTATATACACCTTTATATATGATAGGGATGTATACCTAGTTAAGTAGGTTTTCCTTAATTTTATCAATTTTTTAGCATAAAATCAAGGGGTATATAGACTTTTAAATTGCTAAATTCTTAAAAAATCTTATTATGTGTATCAGTAAAAAGTACTTATAGAGATGGAAATAAATAGTCATATAAAATTCTATTTCCTTAACAAATTATTTTGCATCCTCCTTCCAATTCTCAAAGTAGAATATTGAAAATCTAAATATTTTACTAATTTTACACAGTTTAACACTCATATCGACCCCAATATATCGAGAAAATGATCAAAATGGTCCTTAATGTATGGGCTTTGATTCCATTTGGTCCTTAATGTATGAACTTGATGGAAATGGTCCTTTATTTATCATAAATTGTGATCAATTTGGTCCTTAACCCTAAAATTAATATATTTCTTTTTTTTTCGCCGTCAAAATACACGGAATATGTAAAAGACTCCTTTAAAAAACATAAAAATCGTTGCCGGTACCTAAAAAAAAAAATTCTTTTTTCTTTAAAATCGCTGCTGTGATTTTTTTTTAACAATGCTGCCCTAGCTGCGTTTAAAAAATAGAAATAGCTGCTATATCAGCCATTTTCTTTAAAAAGTTTTTATTTTTTTTTATTAAAAATTCTCGAGGCGAGGACTGCTTAAAAAAATAATGGGAAATCGCTCCACGTGTAGGATTTTAGTTAAAAAAATTTTAATGGCAACGATTATTTAAAAAAAATTTAAACTAAAATCGCTACACGTGGAGCGATTTCCCATTATTTTTTTAAGCAGTCCTCCTCGCCTCAGGAATTTTTAATTAAAAAAATTTAAACTTTTTTAAGAAAATGGCTGCTATAGCAGCTATTTCTATTTTTTAAACGCTGCTAGGGCAGCGTTGTTAAATATTTTTTTTCACAGCAGCGATTTTAAAGAAAAAAGAATTTTTTTTTTGGACCGGCAGCGATTTTTATGTGTTTTAAAGGAGTAACGACATCAATTTTGTCAGAAGAAAATTGCTCCGTGAGGAGCGATTTTGCCCTTTTGGTTAAAAAAAATTGATGTGCCCTTTTGGAATTTTTGGAAACAGGGGAAGGGAAGTCTTGAACGAGCGCATCTTTTACATATTCCGTATATTTTGACGGCAAAAAAAAAAAATATATTAATTTTAGGGTTAAGGACCAAATTGATCACAGTTTATAATATATAAAGGACCATTTCCATCAAGTCCATACATTAAGGACCAAATGGAATCAAAGCCATACATTAAGGACCATTTTGATCATTTTCTCCCACTATATCATCACAAATATTATGAGAGTCAATATCTTTTAAGCCAAAAACGCATATATTGTGAGCAATGAG